ATAAACAAGTTGCCAAAAAAGAACTTCAGAGCTGGCCTGTGGCCCAGATGATGCAACCATGTCTCAGATCTCCCCTCCCTTGAGTGGCCTCTGACCTGATTTTGGATTCATGTAAACACAGACACACATATGACTGGTCCACTCTGGGCAAAAGTTTAGTTTTTTTTTTTTTTTATTAGATGAGCAGGAAAGAAACGTAAATGACAAGATGTATGATACACTCCATTCTCTTGCCTCTGCTTTCTTGTTACATGTTAGGTGAAAGCATCAACTTTTAGAAATTTATACAGAGGAAAACAGCGCTAGAGGTGTAAGACCAGGAAAATGAGACTCATGGTGATTTCTTTCTAGGGTACTAAGAAAAACACTGGGCATTTCTGTGAGCTGTGCATGATCCTGGATAGTTTTGATTATTTAACTAGAAAGCTATTAAGAAAAAATCCTTTTAAGACACAACTCGGCTCGGCTATCACGGGACCGGAAAGCCATGTCCTTTCATTCTAGGCTCCCTGCTGCTGCCGGCTGTCTACCTACACTGCTCTTCACCAGACAGCCAGGGTAAAGAGAAAGAAAGCCCTGGCTCCTCTGGCCCTCATGACCGGTTCTTCAATAATCAAAATGGACATGTCCGAGGACACGAGGCACAAGCCCTCCTAGCTGACACTTCGTTTCTCCTCCCCTCCCCCACTGGAACCTCGGACCACAGACACATGGTCCAGCTCACAAATGGCAGGCTTGAGACTTGAACCTGTCTGACAGAACACAAGCCTGGCAGACTATGATCAGAATACAGAATGACAGAGAGAGCTGCTGGCAGTTTAATGGAGCTTCAGCACTTGTTCTGCCTGTTACCACCCCACAACTATAAAAACAGAAAAAATAAATCCAGTATGAAAAATACCAGTAGTTTAATGATGCCATCCTTTTTAGGTCTTCCTGGGGAAGAGTAAACCAGCCTTTTCTAAGCTATCAGTGGTATTTTGAAGGCTATAAGAAGTCCTTTGCATTTCAGAGGACTGACATGTGGCCTGTGCCCTCATGCTCCCATTTTACTGTAGTCAATTCAGATGTTACTACCAGCAATGCGTTAGGAGGCCCCCACACCAAGCTCTCTCCAACTGACAGCTGCCACTCCAACTAATGCCCAATGCTGCTCTGAGTAACTGCAGCTACAGGATGTCGGGGTCACAATTCTAACTCTTTGAAAGCCACCTTGTGTGTCCTAGGATATGAAATACAGAACAAAACAAAACAAAACAAAAAACAGTTAAGAAATATAAGACCTAGGACAGGAAATGGAATTTCTTAGAAACTGAGTAGGATTTTCTGGGGATGCGATTCTTCTGGTTTCCTAAGCTATACAGCCTGGTAGAACCTTAGATGGCCACAGGAGTCTGAGGAATCAATTTTCTTTGCTGCTACTTTATTTGCTGAGACAGGATCTCACGTAGTTCGGGCTGGCCTCACACTTACTATACAGCCAACTTCTGATCCCCTGCTACCTCCTCCCCAGAGCTGAGAGTACAGTGACTCTCCACCAGGCCTGGCTCTTCACTGCTCTTCTCTTTTTTTTCTTTCTTTCTTTCTTTTTTTCTCCGGAGCTGAGGACCAAACCCAGGGCCTTGTGCTTGCTAGGCAAGCACTCTACCACTGAGCTAAATCCCCAACCCCCTCACTGCTCTTCTCAACAGGCAGATCCCAGTGGAGGACTTTAGGGTCAGCAAGAATCTACTGGACCCGACTCACTTGCAGTTAGCCTACAAGTACCAAAGTTTCGACTGAATACATCATGGACTAAGACTACAAGAAAGAGGTGGAAGGCAGGATTTTTATGTCTCCAGTTTTTCCTCTCTGCAAAGTCACCTCAGGCTGTGTCCCTCTGACCAAAGGTCATTGCTTGTCTTTGAAGGTATCTTTTTCTACATGAGTCTCAACTTTCAGGCTATGGTAAATGTTCCCTCTCTTGAAGCTTAAGAACTATTACCAAACAGCCTAGTCATGGAAGGTCCACTTTTGTAAATAATTCACCTCTAACACCTTCTTTAAATAACCCTAATCTGAGCAAGCTGTTTCTTGTTGAGACCCTCAGGAATGAAGGTATTCTATTATTTGCAGCCAAAAGCAGCCCAAGTGATATCCCTAACCTGGTCATCACAAGAAATACCAGGAACACTTCCCATCCCAGTTTTTGGGGGAGTTAATGTGCTTGTGATGTTGGAAGGCTGATTAATGTCAATGAAGAGGGAATAAATAACATATGAACATATGCTTCTCTGGTAACCCCAGAGAAAGGAGATGAGAGACAACCCTTAATACACAGTGGTATGAAAAATGAAAAAAATAAATCAAGCCCTTGGGAGAAAAGGCAGGAGGATTAGGTGCTCAAGGCTAGCCTTGGCTACATAGTAAGTTTTGGGCTAGCCTGTGGTATGTGATAGCCTGTTTTAAAAAAAGAGTGTTGTTTTGTTAAAAAGAAAATACAGAGAACATTTTTTTTGTTTGTTTTTTCAGGGATGGAACTCAGGTTGTCAGCCTTGAGCAGCACGTACTTTACCTGCTAAGCCATCTCACTTGCCCTGTATTGTTTCTTTTCTTTTTGGTTCTTCTGAGACAGGGTTCTCAGTGTAGCCCTGGTTGTCCTGGACTAATGCTGTAGACCAGGCTAGCCTTGAACTCAAGAGATCTGCCTGCTTCTGCCTCTCAAGTGCTGGGATTAAAGGCGAGTGCCACCACCTCCTGGTTCAGAGTGAACATTTTTATTCCAAAGTCTACAAGGGCGACTGACATCTTGAAATTTTTTTTTGAGACAGAGTCTCTCTAAGTAGCGCTGGCTATGCTGGAGCTTGATATGTAAACCAGGTTGGCCTTGAATCTACGGAGACCTGCCTGCCTCCAAGTGCTGGAGCTGAAGGCATGTGTCACCTCTCTCAATTTCATCTTTTTTTTTTTTGGTTTTCTGAGACAGGGTTTCTCTGTGTAGCTTTGGAGCCTGTCCTGGATCTGCACTGTAGACCAGGTTAGCCTTGAACTCACAGAGATCCATCTGCCTCTGTCTCCCAAGTGCTTGGATCAAAGGCGTGTGCCACCACTGCATGTCCTCAACTTCATCTCGATGTTTTAATTTTACAGATGGCGGTCAGGTGAGGACTAAAAACATGAAGTAATTCTGAAGGCTGCAGCAAAGGGGTGAACCAGGAATAGAAAACAGATCTAATGATGCAAATTCTGTGGGTTTTTTTTTTCCTCTCTGAAGTTTGCCCTCCCTTTATGAATCAAGCTCAGGAAGTCAGGATGGAACAGAAGAAGAAAGGAAAAGGGAAGAGGAAGTGTGATTTTCTGGTTTATTCTGCCCTTCACAACCCCATTTAAGATTTTTCTGAAATTCCTTTAACATCTAAGAAAAACCACACTGGAGGGAGGGGGTTCTGGGGGAGGGGAACCAACCCAATAGCTTGCAGTAGCCTGGGATTCCAGAATAAATACTGAAGTTGGCAGAACATGTAGTATCCTTCCTCTCAGTAGGTCACATGAGGACATTGCCTAATATCCGTTATGTGTGTTGTGTGTGTCTGGGAACATACAATATTTATGTTCTCCTCAAACGCTTAGGGTACCTTTTTCTTGTGCCAAAAAGATTTTGTGTCCTACCTTCTGATTTAATCTAAAAGTGACATCGAAAACTGGTCCTAAAGACTTAGAACTTCTTAGAAACAGAGGAGGATTGAGTATTCTCCCAGACAAAGGCTCAGATGAAATCATTCCAAATGCTGAGTAAATGGGAGGGGTTTTTAGTGGAAACCATAATGCTATGTTGTGGTCACATTTTCACAATTCTTTGGGGGCTGGGAGGGTGGCCCCTCTGCCTGGATAGGCTGGAAGGCTATTAACATTCTCTTCTGTGGAAACACAGCCCAGATTTGAGAGTCAAGACCAAGTCATGAGACTCGCTGGAGTCAAACCCTGGCACCAGCAGCAACTGCTTTTAGACAGCTGTGCCATTACCCTAAACCACAGCCTAGAACATGCTCACAGGGAAAACAGACCAGATCTGCTGTCACCCTAAAAACACAGCCTAGAGCATGCTCACAGGGAAAGCAAACCAGACCCATCAAGTCAGAGAATTTCAGCATGTGACAGCTCAACAAAATGGTCCTCAAGTCATGTAATATCTGACGCAAGAGCAGATGACGATTTTAACCCCTAAAAGGGGAAATCACTCATTTTAACAATCAACTACCCAATTATTATTGAAAACAGTTGTCTCTCATTGATACAGGAAGCGACTGAAGACAGTAGTCGGGAGAAAGACAGGCCGAAACAATAGTTTTTGTGGGAAAGTATCAAAATGCATGACAAAGCAAAGCCTAGAGAAATAGGTAAGGCAGCCTTGACTATTATTTGTGGGTACTGAATCTAAGATGTTTTTCCTTTGTAATTTTTTCAGTTTCACACAGCACATATACAAAATTTGATTAAAGATTTGTGTGTGTGTGTGTTTTTAAAGAGTGAGCTGTTTTTGGGTATAACCCTCAAATGGGGTAGGTACACGGTTGGCACATGACCAAAATTACTAGAGAGCTCAGTAAAACTTAATATTGGAAAGAAAAAGAAGTTGTTGTTTTTTTTTTTTTTTTTTCCTGTCAAGAATTTTAGGGAACACTAGCAGTACCTTAGGAGCATCCGGTATCCATCTTGACGAGGCTGTAGCCAGTATCATAAGATATTGACAGGTGTTAATTAAATGTGCACCTAATTGAAAACTGGAATGAGGCTCTAATTTTTCTTTTAGTCTATAGCTATCAAATACCTGAAAGATTACCTGCGTAATCTTCCATGCCAATCTTAAATTCATATTTTGAAAAAATTGATAGAGAAATGAATCCAAGTTAAAAAAAATCATATCTAAGTTAGGCTGAGCACTGGCTACAGAAAATGCCTCTTAGCTTGCCTTATGGAAGTGTACGGAAATGAGAGTCAGAGAAAGCCACGTAGGGACGCACCTTGCCAGCAAGATCCCTTGGTACTCTTCCAGTTGTCTCATGAAGCTGGGGTTAGGCTTGGTCACTGTGCGCCTTTCCTTCACGTAGTCATAGGCTCGGTCCAGATTCCAGCCGTACTCCTTCATTGCGTAGGCAATCACAGTGGAGGCCGAGCGACTCACCCCCATTTTGCAGTGCACAAGGCACTTAGATCCATGCTTTCTAGTTGGGAGATTGAGGTGAAGACAGGACAGTGTGAGAGCTGGTTTTCCGTCCCTGGACTGCCCTCCTCTCACCCTCTTTCCTTTTGCTATGTTTCAAAGCTTTCATCTTAGTACATCCATGTGACTCTATGATCAAATATGAGGGCCAAGCAGGCAGCTTCCACTGCACTTTAACTAATAGTTACTTGTTTTTCTCAAGACAAGGTTTCTCTGTGTGTGTAGTCCTGGTTGTCTTGAACCGAACTCTGTGGACCAGGCTGGCCTCAAACTCAGAGATCCACCTGCCTCAGCCTCCCCGGTGCTGGGATTAAAGGAGTGTGCCACTACTGTCTAGATTTTTTCCCCCAAATATTAATATTAAGTCTCTTAATCTACTCAGTAAAGATTTAACAAGTACTTACCATATATAAGATAATATGTACAAGGTGCTAGACACAAACTTAAGTAACACACAGCTTTTATCCTAAAGGGTAGGATTTAGTTCCAGAAACAGATCATTAAAATTCAATGTGTTAGTGAAGGTCACAGAGTGGAGAGGAGAAGTTAGCTTTCAGAGCTGGAGCTCATTTCCTGTGTGGTGGAGGCCAGTTTCCTCACAGCCCTCGGGCATGGCTCCTGAGTTACAGGTGTGGTAATGACTCATCCAATTTATTCTAATAGAGTTGTTTCTAGTTAAGTTCCCAGGAAGGGCTCTGTCCCTGGAGGAAAGCATACATGAAGCCAACTTTTCTTCTCTATTCAGACAACTGTAGATAGCACTGTTCACACAGCACCACAATGCCAGAGACAGAGGAAAGCATGTGATATAGCACATGCCTTCTTAGTGATGGAGGTGGAATGAATGGCAGCTGCCTGTTTTTTTACATGATCTGAACTAAACTCAGGCTCCACACATACTAAGGACGTGCTCTAATTGTTAATCTATGCCCCAGTTCCTGCGGGTTTTTAATGCAAGGGAAGGAAGAGAAAACAATGCTACCACAAAGCAAACAAAATACATCAGTCTGAACAGGTCCTAGTTAATTATCTTGGACATGAACACTGTTCAGTTATGTTCTAACTCTAACAAGGTAGTGTTATAGCACACAGTCAGTCTTCAAGGATCTGTTAAATGCATGAATAAATTATGGATCTGCTGATCACATTTCCCAGCTGTTGAAGAAGGAATATTTTAAAACCTAGAGAAAAAGAATAGCTACTCTTATGGCTACTGCTCATAGATCCTAGAATCCTTTCATGTAACTGTTCCGATAAATCAAAACATATATCTGTGAGCATAAGGGGACAAGCTATTCATTTGCTTACTGACTGTATTGATGGTTGACAAGTTTTCTTTCAGAAGCTTATAATCTTGTTTTTCTGGAGACATGAGCTATATGAATGAGTGAGGAATTACCAGTGCAAGTGAGTTTGAGGTGACTTGTCCAAACAAGTGAGCAGATAAGCAAAGAATGCAAAGTATGGAATGGAATAATTTTCCTTACTTTTAAAAACTGCATTTATCTATTTGAGTATGTGTGGGTGGGCAGGCATCTGAGTGTGTGGTACACATGTGGAGGTCACAGGATGACTCGGAGGAGTCAGTTCTCTCAATTTCTACCTTGTGTGTTCTGGGGATTAAACTTAGGTCATCAGCCTTGGCAGCAAGCACTGAGCCATCTCGCTGGTCCTTACTATAGAGTTTTTATTAGTCTACAGTTTGGAAGCCAATGCACAGTGACTCAGATGAAAATTGAGACGTGTGCTCTACATTTTCCAACTGAACTCTAACAACTTCAACATATCAAATTTTAGGCCTTTGTCTGTAGGCATGGAATGTGCTTAAACTTGGACAAGCCTAAGTAAAATAAAATTCATTCCCTATGAAAGCACCTCTTTCACATTTTTCTTTTCTTTTCTTTCTTTCTTTTTCTTTTTTTTTCAAGACAGGGTTTCTCTGTGTAGTCCTGGTTGTCCTGAAACTCACTCTGTAGACCAGGCTAGCTTTGAACTCAGGGATTGGCCTGTCTCTGCCTTGCAAGTATTGGAATGGAAATAAAGGTGTGTGCTACCACACTCGGCTTCTTTGGAACTGTTCAACTGAGCTTTTTAAGTGCAAAGCTTCTAACTTATTTAAGAAGGATTTAAGTTAGTTTTCATCTAACCTATACTTCAATTTCACCTCTCAATCCCTGTGTAGGATGGTTGAGATTAAGTCTGGCATCATCATATTAGGAATAGGGCCTTGTAGAAAGAATTATAGAAGGAGGAGTTCCCTCTCAGACTCTGACCCAAACTTGAGAAACTTATGATCAACTGCATCCATTTATGACCTTGGTGCTTGTGGTGGCTATTTTGGTTGTCAGTTTGGCTACACCTGGAATCATCTAAAACTCAAAATGGCTGAGCACACCTGTGAAAGATTTTTGCTTAATTAAATCATTTCAAGTGGGAAAATTCACTTCTAATTGAGATCTTTGAGGTGGGAAGATGAACTTTTTTTTTTTTTTTTTTTGGTTTTTCGAGACAGGGTTTCTCTGTGTAGCTTTGCGCCTCTCCTGGAACTCACTTGGTAGCCCAGGCTGGCCTCGAACTCACAGAGATCCGCCTGGCTCTGCCTCCCGAGTGCTGGGATTAAAGGCGTGCGCCACCACCGCCCAGCAGGGAAGATGAACTTTTAATCCAGATCTTTTGAGGTGGGAAGACCCACCTCTAAATCTGGACCTGCCTTCTGCTGGCAGCTTGTATAAAGGAAATGGAAGAAGGAAGACTTGCTCTTTGCCTCCTTGCTCCTACCCTTGCTATCAAGACCATTCCTTGACTGGTATTAGAGCCTACTTCTTTGGGATTCCAGTGTATCCTGAAGACCAGTGGAGACATCCAGCCTCATGGACTGAACAACTCCTGGATTCTTGAACTTTCCGTTCATAGGCAGCTACCGTTGGGTTAGCTGGACTGCAGTCTGTATGTAAGTCATTAGAATACACACACACACACACACACACACACCCATTCTAAAAGTTCTCTTAATCTAGAGAATTCTGACTAATACAGATATTGGTGCCAAAAGTGGTTCTAGAGTAATGAAGTATAAGGATGAATCTTTTAAACACCTGGAATAAGTTTTCCAATTTGCCAGCCCATACAGTTATAAAAGCCTCTCCTGTTACTGAAGCCTTTCTTGGGAGCTTGAAGAATATTTAAAGCCCATGGTGTGCACTATTTTACAAAATTAAGGAGACAAATGCATTCGATGATCCTGATTCACCAATTGTGAGAGGCAATTGATCTGGTGACTGTCCTGTTTATGAAGACTGTTAAGGGGGTGTAATTTCTGAAGGAAGTTAATAAAAAAGAGGTATTTCTCATCTACTAAAGATGGTTTGAATGCTGTCTTTTCTGAAGAGGGATGTGGCTAAGTAGCTCATTTATGATTCATTCTTCCTAGTGAAAGGATGAATAAAATGGGAAAGGAAGTCCTCAGAGCTTTAGGAATCAATTAATTTGACGACGACATGACAAAAGGCAAGAGAAAAACCTTACCATTTAGAGTAGCCACAATAAAGCCATTGACTGGGAAGATTTCCAACGCTCACTGCTTCTCTTCTTGTATTCAGAAAGACCTGGTATATTGCCTATTCACAATAGTTTTTGCTGTACAACTTACAAATATCTCCAGTACCATTTTAAGAATTTAATTCAGAACCAGGCATGGTGGATAGTGCATTCTTTTAATCTCAGCCCTTGGGAGGCAGAAGCAGGCAGATTTTGGTGAGTTCAAGGTCAGCCTGGTCTTGAGAGTTTCAGGCTACTTAGGACTACATAATGAGACCTTGTCTCAATTTTTTCCCCTCCATTTCTCATTTTTCTTTCTTTTTCTTTTAAGATTTATTTATTTATTTTATGTATGTGAGTGCTCTATCTGCATGTACGCCTGCATTTCAGAAGAGGGCATCAGATGCCATTATAGATGGTTGTGAGCCACCAGGTGGTTGCTGGGAATTGAACTCAGGTCTTCTGGAAGAGCAGCCAGTGTTCTTAACCGCTGAGCCATCTCTCCAGCCCCTCATTCTTTAGCTGCAGTATAATTCCATTTTCTTTCATTTTCTGCTTAGTGGAAAATGAGGCTATGTGAGGTTATTTTATTCTAAGGGATTTCATTTGCTTAAAGGGAAAGTATTAGGTCACTAATCTTTTGTCTAGGATTATAAAATCTCAGGGCCTTTTTCCCCTTTATATCCTTTTCTCTAAGCACTATCAGTAAATTATGTCAGTCTCTCATCCCCAGTTATGTTCACACTATGAAGAGGGATCCGAATGCTGTGTGGGACAATACTCACTTGGCTTTAGAGATGAATTTGTATGTGTCATTCCAGTAAGCCAGGAGATCCGTTGCCTCTTCATCATATACTCGGATGTTGTGATACTCAAAGACTCCAGGGAAGAAGTTGTCTATCTCTCGAGTGACATTCAAGATGTACCGTACCCTGTGAAGAAATCAAGGGAGGGCATGTATTCTGTTTCTCAGGCTAAAATGAATTCCCAGCACCATATATCTGCCATGTTCAATACCTAAATACCATTTCACTTTATATATGGATACAGGATCTCATCTTTGATAGTATTTTGGAAATAGTCCCCATATCTGTATCAACTAAAAATCAACCTAAGACCCACAACCTAGCAATTTCTGTTCTTAAAATTTCCAACGATAAAATTTTATTTGGAAGTTGTTTGTATAAAACCAGATGACTGATATACTCCAAGAAAAAAGAGAAAAGGAAAATTTTCTTACTTTTCTCAATGCCAGATTGTCAGGCAAGAAACTGTGAGGGACCATGGAAAGCTGGCCTGAAACTCCCTCGAATCTGTCTGGCTGCATTCTGCCAAGAGTTCTCACATGTTGAACAGTCAGCAGGAAAGGGTTTCTCTATTAAAACTTTCTCATCATCTCTCTCCCTGCACCACCTTAATTACTGTCTGGTTTAATTTACCAACGGCTCTTTCTTTCTTCAATGTTGTATAGACTTAAACATCACTGAAGTTTACTCCAGCAACACAGGCTCAGTTCTTTCTACAAAAACTGTTTCCTTCAAATAAGCACATGTGGGGCTCCACAACTCAGTTTCTGAAGAAGACAGAGTTACTACACAAGCATTAGCCCCACTCTACAACATGCATACACGTGGTCCCAGCATCATTATTCACGACAGCCAAAAAGTGGCTGTCAGCTGATGACACCAGTGGCTTCTAGAAACAGGGAAGAAGGGAAACATGACCAAGGAAGCATACACAGTCTCCTTCTGGTGTGAAAAAATGCTCTCAATCAACCAGGTAGTTTGCATAGCTCAGAAACATTTACTAAAACCCACAGAATTGTACATTTTAATTGTGTTAACTATATTGCATTATGAGTTACATTCAATAAAATGATTAGAAGAAAAAGCAAAAACATTTATTTTATTTTTATTTACTTATTTTTTTGAGACAAGATCTCTATGTGTAGCCTGGGCTTGCCTGGGACTTTATGTAGACCAGGCTGGCTGAAAATTCACACATCTACTTGCCTCTTCCTTCTGAGTGCTGGGATTAAAGGTGTATGTCACCATGCCTGGCTCACTGATTTTATTTTATTGAAAATAAAAATGAGGGGCTGGAGAGATGGCTCAGAGGGTTAGAGTGCTTGCTGCTCTTCAGAGGACCAGAGCTCAGTTCTCAGCACTTATGTGGAGAAGTTCACAACTAGCTGTGATTCCCAGCTCCAGGGGGTTAGAGGATCTCTTCTGCCTCCTCTTTGACTCACAAACATGGAGCATGTGTACACACACACACACAGTAAACTACAACAACAAAACCCAATCAATCTCCTACTTCTTTTGTTTTCTTTCCGGAGCTGAGGACCGAACCCAGGGCCTTGCGCTTGCTAGGCACGCGCTCTACCACTGAGCTAAATCTCCAACCCCAATCTCCTACTTCTAATCCTATACTTCAGTAATGGATTATGGCATCATCTCTAGAGAGACAGGAAACAGTTTCCTAATTCTTTTCATTCTGGAGCTGAAAATGCCCACTGCTGATTGGTGCTGTAACTCCTTGGAATTTCTTTGGTGTATCAGCAATTCTGTAACTTTAGTTCCTAAAGTCAGTAGACTATCTGGAAATGACCTTACTATCAAAATTGCAATTTGAGCTGGGCAGTGGTGGTGCATGCCTTTAATGCCAGCACTCAGGAGGCAGAGGTAGGCGGATCTCTTGTGAATTTGAGGCCAGCCTGGTCTACAAAGCGAGTTCCAGGACAGCCAAGGCTACACAGAGAAACCTTGTCTCAGAAAACAAAAAAAAACAAAACCCAAAAAAATTGCACTTTGAAATGCCATAAATCACTGTCAGGAAATAGGACATACAGTTTTGTGACAGACTAAAGTTTAAGACCCACTGAATTTAAGAAATAAGACCCAAGTAGATGTTTGTACATCCAATCATTCTGTTTTAAAGACAATTGGATTTAGTTGCATTTTGAAGTTTAGCCTTATAAGAGTAAATGATGGCTGTTATTCCACAGTAGCATGACTACGGAAAAGTACATACTGTATATTTCAAAAAGCAAAAAGAGAAGATTTTGAAAGAAAACAGGACCCCAAGAAAGACACAGGGATCGCCCAATGATGGAGAAATGGATGAGATCTACATGAACAACCTGGATGTGAGTAGGGGTAATAAAGGGCAGGGGTCGAGGGAAAGAGAGCTTGGGGGAGCGGGAGATCCCAGCTGGTTCAAGAACAGAGAGGGAGAACAAGAAATAAGAGACCATGGTAAATGAAGACCACATGAGAATAGGAAGAAGCAAAGTGCTAGAGAGGTCCACAGAAATCCACAAAGATACCTCCACAATAGACTACTGGCAATGGTCGAGAGACAGCCCGAACTGACCTACTCTGGTGATGGGATGGCCAAACACCCTAATTGTCATGCTAGAAACCTCATCCAATGACTGAGGGAACCGGATGCAGAGATCCACGGCCAGGCCCCAGGTGGAGCTCCAGGAGTCCAATTGGCAAGAAAGAGGAGGGTTTGTATGAGTGAGAATTGTTGAGACCAAGGTTGGAAAAAGCACAGGGACAAATAGCCAAACGAATGGAAACACATGAACTATGAACCAATAGCTGAGGGGCCCCCAACTGGATCAGGCCCTCTGGATAAGTGAGACAGTTGATTAGCTTGATCTGTTTGGGAGGCATCCAGGCAATGGGACCAGGACCTGTCCTCAGTGCATGTACTGGCTGTTTGGAACCTGGGGCTTATACAGGGATACTTGGCTCAGCCTGGGAGGAGGAGACTGGACCTGCCTGGACTGAATCTACCAAGTTGAACTCAATCCTCAGGGGAGTCGTTGCCATGGAGGAGATGGGAGTGGGGAGAACAAAGGAATCCGTGGCTGATATGTAAAATTAAATTATAAAATAAAATTTAAAAAATAAAAAAAAGAAAGTTTTCATCATGAAGAATTGATAAATGGGGGCAGAAGAGATGGCTTAACAGTTAAGAGCCAGCTTAGCAGCTCACAACCATCTATAACTCCAGTCTCAGGGGATCTGATGTCCTCTTCTGGCCTCCAGGGCACCAAGCATGCAAGCAATACACAGACATATATGCAGCCAAAATACCCATACACATAAAAAGCAAAATAAAACTTATTAGAAAAAAAGAAATGAAAAATGTTCCAGATGACAAACTTGATTTAAAACATTAAATATATGTACCTAAACATCACATGGTACCACATTAATGCATACAATTTTAATATTTTTATAAAATGTTTTAATAAAAGAAGCATATGAGATGGAGTCTCATCTCCAGCTAGTATTATAGCCTATTATATGTCTATACAATGTGATTACAATGTATTTGGCAAGCAGTGCTATGTCAACTCGCAGATTTCATATTAAATATCATATCTAAGTTTTCTAGAATGATAGAACTTTCAAACTTTACAGAATTGTAAGCTGTCAAAAACTGGTCCCACTCTCAAGGAAATTTAAGTGAACTTCTGCAGATAAAGTGGAGTCAATGTTGTTTTTCAAGTCCAATCAGGGTCTCATCTTCAAGGGCCCTGTCAAGAAACCTACCAGTGAACAGTTTATCTAGTTTGTTTAATTAATTAATTTATTCTTTTGTCTTTCTAGATAGGGTTCCTCTGTGTAACCTTGGCTGTCCTGGAACTCTCTCTGTAGACCGGGTGATCTTCAAACTCACAGAGATCCTCCTATCTCTGCCACTGGAGTGCTGGGACTAAAGGTGTGTGCCACCACTGCCCAGCAAATTGATCTAGTTTTAAGAGGGCAAATGAAAGACACAGGATGAGGGTCTAGGTCTTTGAATTCTCAGCCCAGTTTATTAGTTGATTCCTTCCTTCATCTGTCATTAGGCAAATGACAGTTCTTACATGTGTATGAATTTTTTATCATTCATTCACAGTGAATATCATCTTAGTGTGAAGCTTTGAGCTAGGATGATAAAAATTCAAAAGATGAATATATAGTCTCTAAAAGCTCCAGACCAGTCCTTACTAATTAAAATTTTCCAAGTTATACTTATTTTTATATCTTCAACTAAGCAACTAGATTTTCATACCTGGGTTTTTTTTTTTTTTGTATGAAAACAAGAAGTTCATTTTTGTAATTACGAAACACCTTTCTTGTCAGGGAGAGAGAAAAGTAGGTAGTGTGCATGACACTTATCAGCACCTCAGACTCTCAGTCTATCATGGCAATCAGAAATAATTCATTCTCTTCTTCCTCTGGCCTAGGCAAGCTCTATCACTTAACTACATTCCTAACAATTCAATTTGATTTTTAAAGAGTACTAAACACTTGGGAATTTGTTTTTCAAAGCCATTCCATTAATACAAGTGATGTTTCTTGGGAGGGAAGAAGATCAAATGGTTGAGAGAATAACTGCTCTGATTTTTTTTTCTGTAAGATAATAGCTGAGAATTGAAAGCGACCCTAAGGATCAAAGTTTACCCATTGATACTTCTTTGACAGGAAAACATAAAGGTTAAACAGGGACTTCTGTCATACAGAGATGTCAGCAATTGCTCTGTGTGCTCACCCTCGGTTCTGTAAGTCCTCTAAGTTCGAGGCATTCCATTCTGAGCCCTATGGAGCCAAAAAGACAAGGTTAGTGAGTATTATCAAACCAACTAAACAGGGTAGTTGGGAAGGAGCACTGCGGGGAAATAGTTTCTGAAAAGTGACTCAAAAACATGTACTCAATGCCTCTAAGTACCAGAAACTTTATGTTATCACACCCAGTTTTTATTAATGATAGTACAAAAAAATTATCTTTTTTTTTCAGGGTGGGAGTGGTGAGTGTGTGTTCATATGTGAACAGACAAGTGCCACAGTATGTATGTGGATATCAGAGTAAAATTACTCTGTGTCCAATACTCTCATGTTTCCCATGCTAACCTAAAAAATCTTGCTATTCTGCAAAAGGTCTCTATTCATATGCAGGTTTTTCTCAGCCAAATTAGCCTCCAGGAGAGCCGTTGATACTAAAATCAGGTTGGACAAAGGCTTCCAGCTCAGAGAAGTTGTACAAACTTACGAGGATTTAGATGAATCTTTTTTCCTAATGATAACCTGGCTTCCCACCAATCAGTCTTCCCTTCTCACTGCAGGTTTTCTCTGAACTATGTTCTAAACATTCCTTCTCCATATCAGCTGATACCTTTCTGAATAAACAGATCCCTGTGCAGTATAATGCAGAGCTGAGCATTCTTCCAGAGGGAGGGGAATTGCTGGCTTTCCTCTAACAATCTGGTTGAGCTCCAGGTATGGCAACTATGCATGAAATGAGATGACTTTGAGAAAAGTAACCCTGCAACTTGAAACTAGGATAGATCTCTTTTCCCATGTCAACTGCTGGGAAAGTGTACACTCCCTGGGGAGGAGAAAGGGGTTTGGACATAGGACATGTGGTACATAACCAAGGGGAAGCCACCAAAACAAGTATAAGATGCTTAGTTAACGTCTTCAAGCAATTATTTTGCATTTTGAATAAGAGTTAAATTTTATAATTCTCCTATATGGAAGTTTTTTTTTTTTTTAAATAAGAAAATTATTCATGGGACTGGAGAGATGGCTCAGTAGTTAAGAGCACTGACTGCTTTTCCAGAGGACCCAGGTTTCAATTCCCAGTACCCACGTAGCAGCTCATAAATATCTGTAAGTCCAGTTCCAGGGCATCTGTCACCCTCACATAGATATGTAGGCAAAACACTAATGCACATAAAAAATAAGTTAAAAAAAAGAAAATTATTCACACTTTTAATCCCAGCACTCAGGAGGCAGAGGCAGGAGGCTCTCTGAGTTTGAGGCTAGCCTGGTCTGTAGGATGAGTTTCAGAACAGCTGGGGCTACACAGAGAAATCCTGCCTCAAAATAAAATGAAAAAAAACAAAAACAAAACAAAACCAACCAAATTTACAAGTAGTAATAACTCTCAAACTCTAATAGTAGACACATACCATAAACATGTCTGTGGTGGTATTTTACTTGTACTGAAATGTGATTTTAATTGTATGTTAATAAAGTTGCCTGGGGGTCAGAGGTATTAGAGCCATAGCAAGTGCGTGGCGGCGGTGGCGCATGCCTTTAAGGACCTGGAGGGCGGTACATACAGGCAGTGACATGTTTGGGTTTACAACCAATGAGAAGGCAGAACAGCTAGACTATATAAAGACATACACACAGGAAGTAGGTCCCTTTCAGAGAGCTCTCTTGACTGAAGAGGATCGCTGAAGCAGGAAGGGTGAGGCTCTTAGCTCTGACCTCTTGGCTTTCTTCTCTGAATTGGCTCTGTGTTTCTTATTTAATAAGACGGTTGGTTACATCTATACATGTCTAAATTCATACCGTGTACAAACATTCTATATAATTTATAGACCCAGCTGATAATGATGTACCAATCAATGCAGGTTCATCAACTCTAACAAATTCATTTATTAAGCCAGGGTTTTTGTGTATCTTGGCTTTCCTGGAACTCGCTCTGCAGACCAGACTGGCCTTTAACTCATAGAGACCCACCTGCCTCTGCCTCCTAACTCCCAAGTGCTAAGACTAAAGGCATGCACCACCATCACCCGGCCCAAATGTACCACTCTTGACAGGGTATACTGATTATGTGGCAGGCTATACATTCATGGGTACACGGGAAATTTTTAATCTTCTGCTTAATTTTCCTATGAATCTAAAACATCTCTAAAATTAGAGTCCATATACTAGATGTATGTGTGTATATGTAGTAATATATAACTAGGAAGCAATAACAAAAGATAACAATGATACCTTCTTTTTTATTTTTTTGGTTTTTTTCGAGACAGGGTTTCTCTGTGTAGCTTTGCGCCTTTCCTGGAACTCGCTTTGTAGACCAGGCTGGCCTCGAACTCACAGAGATCCGCCCGCCTCTGCCTCCCGAGTGCTGGGATTAAAGGCGTGTGCCACCACTGCCCGGCCCAATGATACCTTCTTGGGTAATGATTAAAAGTGATTTATTATCTTCTAAAATTGAAAAAATTGAAAAATTCTACAATATTTTATTTTATGTGTATTAATGTTTTGCCCATAGGTCATATGTGCTCTACCTGTGTGGCCTTGGAAGTCAGAAAAGGGCTTTAAATGCCCTGGAATTGGAGTTCTGGATAGCTCTGACCATCATGTGGGTGCTTGGACCTATTCACTATGTAGTTTGGGTTGACCTTAAATTTGTAACAATCTTCCTGCCTCAGCTTCGGCAGTATGGGATTACAGGCATGAACTACCATGCCTGGTGAACATAAATTATTTTTGTAATAAAAAACTCAAGAAGGAATCCTAAGAGAAATCTGTTGGTAGAAATAAACACATTTGTAGGTGATTAGGGAAATATAATTTGGGGGAAATTGGACTGTTATTTCTGCTTTCAGTAATATTAAAAATTGCTATATACCATAAAATATACTAGTTGAAGAAAGGGTAAAGAGGAGGCAGTTCTGAATTCTAGTTGGAAGTGAGTGGTGGTAGAGACATAGGAAATATGCCTGCCTGGAACAAAACAGGTTGACCAGTCAAAAAATGGCTATACTTGATATTTATCATGTCTGTATCTATCATTCATTCATTCATTCATTCATTCATTCATTCATTCATTCGAGACAGGATCTCACTACATAGCTCCGGCTGACCTAGAACTTACTCTGTAGACCAGGCTGGCCTCAAACTCACAGAGATCTATCTGCCTCTACCTTCTGAGTGTTGGGATTATAGGTGTGCCCCATCATGTTAGGCAACTTGTTCACATCCTTTGTGTGTATGGTGCTGGCGTTCAAACTCTGGGCCCAGGACATGAGAGAAAAGTTCCACAGTTTTTAAAAAAGTGTTAAAATCCACATTTAGGGCTGGGAATGTGGTTCAGTGGTAGAGTCCTTGTCTACACAAGTCTCTACACTTGATCTCCAGTACCAAAGAAACAAACAAGCAATGTTTGATGGTAAAATGATTTCTAGTTTGATCCTGACCCCTTTCTTCCTAGGGTCTCATGGCTCCCTGATTGAATTCAAATTCTCTATGCAGCCGAAGACGACCTTGTCCTGAGTACTGGAGTGTCACCACACCCAGCTTACATGGTGTTGGGGACCAAACTCAGGATCATATGCACGACAGATAAGACATTGGACCACTTGGGCTACACCTTCAGCCAGCTCTTTTTGGCTACCAGCAATTTGTCCTTCATAAAAATTCAGTCATGCCGGGCGGTGGTGGCGCACGCCTTTAATCCCAGCACTCGGGAGGCAGAGCCAGGCGGATCTCTGTGAGTTTGAGGCCAGCCTGGTCTACCAAGTGAGTCCCAGGAAAGGCGCAAAGCTACACAGAGAAACCCTGTCTCGAAAAACCAAAAAAAAAAAATTCAGTCATATTTCATGGAGTCTGGGCAAAGAACATCTGAGTGAGTGGCTCCTAAGATTTCTACAGACAACACAAGAATTCCAACAATGGAAGAGTAGGATATTTTTGAGACCTCATGAAACTATACACTAGAGATAACAAATTCAGGCTCTTTATCCATAGAAAGGCCAGTACAATCTACACCCAGAAATAGCAACACAGCTGGGTGGTGGTGGCGCATGCCTTTAGTCCCAGTGCTGGGGAGGCAGAGGCAAGTGGATCTCTGTGAGTTCGAGAACAGCTTGGTCTACAAAGTGAGTTCCAGAACAGCCTGTTACACAGAGAAATCCTGTCTCAAAACAAAACAACTAATCAACAACAACAACAAAAAACTACAACAACCCAGAAATAGCAACACATATTAGCCAAGTTAAAGTATTGGGAAAAGGCCAGGTATGGTGGCACACACCTTTAATCTTAGCACTTGGGAGGCAGAGGCAGGTGGATCTCTGTGAGTTTGAGGCCAGCCTGATTTACATAGTGAGTTCCAGGATAGCTACGGATATGTAGGAGAAACTCTGTCTCACCCCCAACTCCCCCTCCCCCAAATAAAAGTACTAGAAGAGAAGATCCCCTGTCAGTCCACAGCTCTGCACAGCAATTTCCTAACTATGGGCCATATGAATCAAAGTAGAGACAAATATGCTCTAAAATGTCAAGCTTTCAATAGTACCAAGTCTGACTGCATGATAAAATAAACTCTGGAATGTTCAGAGTGAGGTCATACAGTTTAGTCAGTTTCTGTGTGTTTATCCCTCTTCTATCTGTATCCTAGCTTCTAAGCAGTTCAGTTCATATATGCACTCATCAGAAAAGAGAGGTGCTACATTTCTGGATGTAGATAGTACTTGGCCTCTCTATGGATCAGGATAAGAAGCTTTTCCAACATATTTTTGGCCAAATTGTATAGGAAGTGGAAACAAAATGATGGTTTAGCATTCTTCTTTGCTTTTAAGTATTCTTTGTTCCTGCTACCATGTACACATGAAATTAGAATTCCTCAACCTTAAAGGCTTCCTATCTAGTTTCTCTGTGTCTTTCTTGAGGCAATTACAGGTCACTGAATGTTTGGGAACTATGAAGAAAAATTTTTAGTCATTGACTTTTTGGTAATCATGAAAAGGAATTTGGGGGACTCAAAATGCTGCGACATGGTTTCATTATGTTTAAAAGTTGAGAGCTGAGGATGTAGTTCAATGGTAGAGCATATACTTAACATGTGCAAGGATCAGGATTTGATCCATAGGAATCAAGAAAATACCGAAGCAAATAAATCCCAACAGACTTTCTGTTATAAGCTGTCCCATTTGCTCAGATGAAATACATCAGGTCTTATATACATTCAGTAGACTAGGAAGGTGTAAAAATCATCCTAGTTAGATACACTGTATGAAACCACAGCAGACTAGCATGTTTGACTCTGAGTATTAAAAAAAAAGATGAAATATTTAACAACCTAGAGGAAGAAAGCCCTGGTTTGTAGTATTTGATAAATTCCTTGGTATAAATATTACCACCATACTCAGCTTTAATCCACATAAAAATCCACTGAAAGAGGAACTGGAAAGAAATGAACAGCAGCAGCAAGCCATTATGTACTATTTCCACCATACAACACATATAAATAACCTTAAAAAGCAGTGTTAGGAAAATAATACAGCAAAATTATTAGAAAGCAATGAGGCTTGAGTACATATTGCCTATGCTTTTAATCTAGTTACATTAACCATTTTTTAGATTTATTTACTTTATGTGTATGAATATTTTGTCTGCATGTATGCCTGTGTAGCAGGTGGATGCCTGGTGCCTACAGAAGTCAGAAAGGGGCTTCAGATCCACAGGAACTAGATATGGATCTAGTTGTGGGTGATTTTGAGTCACCATGTGGGTGCTGGCAATCCAACCCAGGTCCTCTGCAAGAACAGTAAGTGCCCTTAACCACTGAGGCATCTCTTCTGTCCAGTTACATTTTATTTAAATATAATAAAACAACAATTGTCTTGAGTCTGAAGCTAGTTTCAAAATACCACTTAAAGTGGCTTTAAAACTTACCAGGAACACATGCTCAAATATCTGTGTAGGACTATCCATCTGACCAAGGATCACTATCATTTCATTATCTATGAATTCCTTGAATTCTCGCAAGTTGCACACCATCTGCATTTCCAATTCTGTACGTATCTGAAACAGAGAGGATGTACTGTGTTAATCTCTGTAAAGTTCTTCTGTGTTTTCAATACCATTTTTAGTTCCATACCTATTGTTATTCCACTTCTAGCTTTGGGACAATGAGAACTCAATGTTGCTTACCTCTTTGGATGTGATATTTTCCAAATCCTTTTGCATCATAATCTCCCTTAATTTGGTTTTAATAAGCCTTTCTGTTCGTTCACGTTCAGTTGGTCTGAGGATAGACAAGTAATGACTTTTCTTAAACAAGAATTTAATCAAAGTAATGAATTCACCATTTGATGATGTTTCCAAACTACTTCTCTTACTCCATATTTATATTGCAGAAGCATAGCATAGCAAATGAAAACTATATCTAACCACACAGTGAGTTTCAGGCCAATGTGGGTACTACATAATGAGACAATGTCTAAAACAAAAACAAAAACAAAATAACAACAAGAACACCTTCCCAAACTAAACCAACCAAAAATAAAAAACAAAACAAAACAACAAACAAAAAAACATATAGAACATAATAAACAGGTGAAAATTACTGCAACAGGTTCTATGTGTTTAAAAGTCTTTAAATACACCAAGAATGTATAGATCAATGAAGAATCAAAGACAAGCTGGGTATATCCAGTATATCTCATGTCCCTATCAAGAACCCCTGGATATCATCACCTACTGAGTTAGAATGCCAATCTGGGTAGAATAGTGGTGTGACTCAGTAGAACCAGACCCTAAAATGCCATCCTATGCTGATCGTTCATTGCTGTGGGCTTATAAGATAGGAAGGAGTAAGACTGATCCAACCTCCTCCAACAAGGCAAGTTTTATTCCAGAATAGGTTGTAGAGTCAGCTATCTGGAATAATTCCATCTGAAACACTTTCCTTTTCATGGTAACTCTCAGAATAGCTCCATGAAATTTTTTTTCTTTGAGACAAGGTCTTGCCATGCAGTCCAGGCTAGCCTAGCTAGCTTTTCAATCTTCTTGCTTTAGCTTTCCAAGTACTGGGACTATAGGTGTGTATTACTGCCCTTTTCTTCCTGCTCACTTCTGTGAAATTTTTTTAATAACTCTAGTTAAGGAGACAAACATGTTAAAAAATATGCTGATAATCACACATATTAGCAGGAAAATCAGACCACTCAGTATAGCCCAGCTCTCTATCTGCAGGATTGTGTTGATTTTTAGTTTTCAGACTCTAAATTACTCAAGGCCAGGTGTGGTGGCACGTCTTTAGTCCTAACACACTGAGTTAGAGGCCAGCCTGGTCTACATAGTGATTTCCACGACAGCCAGGGCTACATAGTGAAATCCTGTCTCAAAATAAATAAATAAAAACAAATTTACTCAGCTGGGCAGTAGTGGCACACGCCTTTAATCCCAGCACTCGGGAGGCAGAGGCAGGCGGATCTCTGTGAGTTCAAGGCTAGACTGGTCTGCAGAGCTACTTTCAGGACAGCCAAGGCTACACAAAGAAATCCTGTCTTGAACCTCCCCCACTCGCCCCCCAAAAAAAGAAGAAGAGAGGAAGAAAGAAAAGCATTAGTTCAGTGTAACTGGATGCTTCTCTCTCGTGGCATGGTTCATATTATGGAGAATTTGAGTACTTTCTGTCCCATCTTTGCTCCTACCCACTCAAGAAAGGTATCTACTCTGAATCTCCTTATTTGGAAATGGACATGGCCTAAGCCTTCAGGCATCCTGCCTGTTACTGCTGCTTACAGCCTTATCACTGGCTGCAAAAATAGCCTCTGTAATCTCCATTTCTGTATGCTGCATCTCCACACACTTGGAGCCCGACATTGCTTAGGCACTCAGCTTCTCATGAACTTTGCAGAACACAGCTAATACCTGTTTGGTTCTGCCAAGGCATTTCTGTCTTGAATAGGAGTGCAATTCTTATCTAGGCTTCATTTTTCCTGGACACAGTAGTGTGGGAGGAAATGTGTAATGACAGTCTTCTATTGAAAAGGTGTATTGATAAAAACAGATTTCAGTACCTGTGTGCATGCATGGGCTCATTTCCTAGTTAAGCAGTTTGTCTTTGAGTCCTTCACTCCCTGAGGTGGAGTAGTTGGGAGCAGACAGACCTAGGTTTAGTCATAGCCCTACTACTTACAGTTCATGTGACCTTGAACGAGGTCCTTCTCTTTTTGTTGTTTTGTTTTTGTCCCTGTTCCTACCCCCACCCCGACATACATACAGGGTCTCTCTGTGTAGCCCTGGCTGTCCTGGAACGCTCTCTGTAAAGAAGGCTGGCATTAAACTCGGAGATCCACCTGCCTCTGCATCAAGTGTTGGGTGGGATTAAAGGTGTACACCATCACTGCCTGGCTTTTTAAATTTTATTTTATGTGCACTGGTGTTTTGCCTGAATGTATGTCTGTGTTGGATCCCCTGGAAGAGCAGCCAATGCTCTTAACCACTGAGCCATCTCTTAGATTTTATACCATTACATTCTTGATTACAGACACTCTATTGTGCCCAGGAGTGAAATTCCTCAGGCCTTTGCAGGAAATAGAAGGATCTTCATGTACGACAGAAGTGTACTCTACATTATAACTATTGTCAATGGGGCAGAGTTAGTTCCTAAGGAATATGCTGCCTAGGATACAAGAAAGGGCATCCACAAGCCTCAGCAAGTTAACTTACATGTCTGTGAAGAGGGCTGGAGAGTCAGGCCGATGAGACTGCACATCCTGCATAGCATTCCATTCATTGACTGAGGATTGATCTGAGTTGATATGGCTCTCATAATAACTCACCCAAGTGAGAAAAAGGCTGCCTGGATAGTAGTTATGCATTCTGGCCACTTCACAAGCCTTGTGCAAGCTCTGTAGTGCAGACCTGAAAGATAGGCCTAGAAATGAGCACTATAGAATTTTGGCATACCAAAAGGATAAAACCCATGTCTATCTCAAACTCCTCTAATTTTTGAATTCTACAGAGTATTATTCTCTGTAGAATTTCCTCCCTTTCTGGAAGCCAAGATTTTGTGATCTTGATGCATCCTCAAGGCAAGGAGCTGGGGGAGGAGAAGAGAACTGACAACTAACTCCCCAGTGGAAAAAAAAGGTCTAGGAACCTATGACCTCATGACTCATGTTGTGACTGTGTCATTAGCAAACAAAAACTCAACAATTAACTATTCAAAATTTGTTTCCCTTTGGCACAGAATCATGTGATAGCTTATTCTCTCAGATTCTTACAGGCTCCACAGAGATCACATAGCAGATGCCCCTAAGCCATGAGGCTATGTCTTTTGATGTCCAGGAAGTACTGACCTAATGGCATTTACCATTCTTGCTACCTTAGTCTCCCAGTTCTTTAAGCTATTTATTCATTCACATGAGTTCCCTTCTAAGAATAGCTCTGGCTACCCTGAGGCTAAATTAAACCTTCTGACTCTGAGCTCAGAAACCCAAGAAGGGTAAACAAAACTAAAAACCATGTTTTTTCTATTTACCTAAGCTAAAGCTAGAAATGCTAGAAGTAAACAAAGACAAACAAAAGAAATACTAGGAAGTAACTTACACAAGACCAAGGACCATTCTACATTTTGTTTATTGGTCTATCTCCAGTGATTAAAAAGGCCTAGATCATAGTGGGAGTTCAAATAAATGACTTATTAGCTATGAACTAATATTTTTCTCTTGAAGGAAAAGGAAATGTAAGAGAATTCCATGGCCATTCATTTACATACTTTTCTTTATAACACTTATTTTTTTAAAATTATTTTATGTGTATGAGTGTTTTGACTGCATGTATGGCTGTGCACCATATGTGTGCCTGGTGCCCAAGAGGTTAGAAGACGATGAAGGAGTCCCTGGAACTGTAGTTACAGAGGATTATGAGCCACCATTTGAGGGTTGGATATTGAACTTGGAACCTCTGCAAGCACATTAGTATTTTTTTTTTTTTTTTTTGGTTTTTTGAGACAGGGTTTCTCTGTGTAGCTTTGTGCCTTTCCTGGGACTCACTTGGAAGCCCAGGCTGGCCTCGAACTCACAGAGATCCGCCTGGCTCTGCCTCCCGAGTGCTGGGATTAAAGGCGTGCGCCACCACCGCCCGGCACATTAAGTATTTTTAACTGCTGAGCCAACTTTCTAGCACCTATCATTTTTTAAGTGTGTGAGTGGGTGCACATGCCACAGTAGCATCTGTATGTGCACAGAGGTAAATTTGGGGGGCATTACTTCTTTCTTCCACCAGGTGTGTCCTGGAGATCAAACTCAGGCTCTCAGTCTTGGTGGCCAGTGCCTTTACCTACTAAGCCGTTTCAAGTGATCTTACATATTTTTGTTAAAAATACCTTTTATTTTTCCCCTCTAAGAAAAGTGATCCATGTTCATTTTGAAAAAGTTCTATAGTTTGCCAGACATGGTGGCATCTGCCTTTAATCCTAGCAGTCAGGAGGCAAAGGTTGGCAGATCTCTGAGTTTGAAGCCAGCCTGGTCTTCAGAGCGAGTTCCATGACAGTCAGAGCTATGTAGAGAGAACCTGTCTCAAAAAACCAAAACCAAAACCAAAACATAACTAGTTCTATAGTGCTTGTGTAGTGTGCAGGAGGCACCGAGTTTGATTCACAGTGCCACAAAATAAACAAACAAAATAATGTCAGGAATATCATGTAATCCTAGCATCACTATTCAAGTTTGGAGCTACTCTTTCCAATTCCTTGGTCTGCTCGCAGGCTGTAATAAAAACTGTATGGCCCTATCATGCACTTCTGCATATGCACTTGCTCTTTTCCTTTACAGCCTGTCATCAACATCTGACTTCAATATTCTCCAACTATATTTTTTTTGAGACAGGCTCTCATGCATCGTAGACCTGGAACTCACTGTAGAGTTCACTAGGACTTTGAATTTAGAACATCTACTGTCTCCACCCCTGCCACTCTCCGAGTCCTGGGAATACAGGGGATGTGTCTCAATGCTCAGTTTTAACCAGATCATTTTGTAATCATTAAAATTTAATGGTTATTTAATAGTCAATTACACGCATGTGCCAAAATTTAACTGATTCCTAGTTTTCAAGCATTTAAATTCTATTGTTATTACTAGAATTCCAACAAACATTCCTTATAGCTAAAATCTTTGTACATCCATTTTTATAATCTCAGAGTAAATTTTTATAATTACTACATAAAAAATGATAAGGAATATTGGCAAATCACTCTCCAAAAAGGTTACTCTAGTTTATTCTTCTATCAATGTCTGAATCTGTTCTTTAAGTCCATGTCAATTTTATATCATATAAACTTTTTGAAAAATAGCTAATTGAATTAGGCTTGTTTGGGGGGGGGGGTCTGTTTGTTTGTTTGTGACAGTGTTTCCCAGTGTAGTCCTGCCTGTCCTGGAACTCACTCTGTAGATTAGGCTGGCCTTGAACTCAGAGATCTGCCAGCCTCTGCCTCTCTGGTGCTGGGATTAAAGGAATGCGCCACCACTGCCTGGCTTTGAGTCAGTTTTTTAAAATTAGATTTATTCATTTTATTTTATGTGTTGAGTGTTTGGCCTGCATGTACATATGTGCACCATGTGTATGCATGGAGGTTAGAAGAGGGAGTTGATAGCCTGCAACTGGATTTACAGATGGTTGTGAACCACCATGTGGGTACTGGGAATTGAACCTGGGTCCTCTACAAGAGCAACAAATGCTCTTAATGGATGAGCCATTTCTCCAGCCCCATAAATTTTTTTCCCCTTAACACCAGTTTAGTTAAGGTAACCCACCAGTTACTTTTAATTATTAAAAAAAAATTTTTTTTTTAAAGACAAGGTTTATGGTAGCCCAGACTAGCTGTGAACTTGTTATATAATCAAGGCCGTCCTTGAACTCCTGACCCTCTGATCCTCTTGCCTTCTAGATACTGGGATTAAGATGTGTGTTCTCATGCTGGGCTAGATTTAAAACAAACAAAACAAAGTTGTAGGGGCTGGGGCTAGATTTAAAACAAACAAAACAAAGTTGTAGGGGCTGGAGAGATGGCTTAGAAGTTAAGAGCGTTTACTGCTCTTGCAGAGGACCTGGGTTGGATTCCTAGCACCTACAAGGTGGCTCACAATGGCCAGTAACTCCAGTTCCAGGGGATTCGACACCGCCTTCTGGCCTCCTTGGGTCATGGTGCACATGGTGCATGCAAACTTATGCAGGCATACACATACACATATACATAAAAATAATAAATTAAAAAAACAAAGAAGTTGTTGACCCTCTAAAAAGTATTTTAAAAATATAATCTCAGGTTTTATTTCTGGAGTGTGTATGTGTGGTAGATACATGCATACACATTTGTGTGAATTTACGTGGGCACTTGTGCATGTGTGCTCCTGCATGAAGCCAGATGTCAATGTTGGGTGTCTTCCTCAATCCCTTGCCTCATTTTTTTTTTTTTTAGAAAGAATTCCTCACTGAGCTTAGAGCTAATCAATTTGGCTAGGCTATTTGCATAATGAGCTTCAGAGACTTGCCTGTCTCTAGCACTTTTTCCTTTTCCTTTTCTTTTTTAAAGTAGATATTGCAGATTGAATAAGCCTCCAGGCTTGTGTAGCAAACACTTACCTGACTGAGCCATCTGTCAGTCCCCTAAACTGTTTCCTAGTACTCAAAATAGGCAAATGCTCAGAGAATTTCAGTTTCATTCCAGTGATTCCGCACATGCTCTCTTCATTTGGAAATGTATGCTTTATAATCATACTTCACAGAGTCTGCTGCAACTGCCCTACATACACTCAGTGTTAGCTGCTTCAGATACAACGCTGCCTGTAGGAGTGGAGGCCACGGTGGCTAGTGTCCAGTTAGGGAAACACCTGGTCTCAACAATGCTTGGGTCCACATCACTACTATTTCTTTCCTATGACTTTCAATTCAATATTCTTAAAAAAGAACTGTGACTAGTGAGTTTACTTTAAACATCAATTCTTGATCTGAGTTATTACTTGAATTAAGGCTGCTTTGTCTGCCTCCTCAAAATATACCTGAAAGTACTGTCATCCTACTGGTACCCATGGGATAGACAGGTTAGCTACTTTTAACTGAGTATTAGTCAAAGGAGATCATTAAATTTTCTATAAAGGTTCACCTGTGAACTATGCTCTAAATCTATAAATGTGGTCTAAGCTCATCTAAAACCCTGCCCACCTTAATTACTGCATAAGAAAGTCAACTGTTTAGTGACGCTGAGGATTCTACACACCTAATCCTATCGCTTCTGTTATGCAGGGTTAGATTATTTCCAGACTTATTTCGCTTCTTCTTTTGTTTGCCTTATCTCCATTCTGCTCATTATGGGGGACTTCTACTATAGGACAGGCAGTGGGAAGAGAAGCAGAAATTTATTTATTATTTATTTATTTGTTGTTGTTGTTGGTGGTGTGTGTGTATGTGTGTGTGTGTGTGTGTGTGTGTGTGTGTGTGTGTGTGTGTGTGTGTGTGTGTATGTGTGTGGTCTGACTGCATATGAACAGATTTGTGTGTGCACATGTATGTGTGTGCTCCAGTAGGTCAGAGGTCAATGTTGTATGTCTTCCTCAGTTGCTGTCCATCTAATTATTTGAGATAAGGTCTCACTGAATCTGGATCTCACTGACTTAGCTAGACTGGCAGGCTAGCAAGTTCCAGGGATTTGCCTGTCCCCCATCCCTTTTCTTCCCCAATTCCCTGTGACACGGGTACAGATAAGCACTGCTGTGCCTGGCTTTTTACGTGGGCATTAGGGATCTGAATTCAGATCCTTATGTTTGCATGAAACTTTACTGATTGAACTATTTCAGTCCCCAGAAGCTAAAGACTACTGAGCCGAAAGTCTCATTATTCCCTGGTTATATTAGATCATTTTTTAGATGAGTGAACAAGAGTCTATTCTATCTAAATAAACAAGATACTCTTAGGCCAGACATGTAACCCTTGCAATGCCTCAGTTCTTTCATCCATAACAGGGTGCTAACAACACTATTGTGTGGCACCAGTTTAATGATTAAATACAAGCCATGTGAAGCATCCGGAACACAGTGAATAACTTGAAAGTGTCAGTATATGGATGGTTATTAACAATGGTTTCTTTAGGCTTTATTTGCATTACACAAACAACTGTCAGTACTTTAAAAGGATATGTATCTATCTACAATGTAACTCTGTCAAGGCTATCTCTGATTATCTTAGGAAATCAAAAAAGCTAGTGTATAGCAGTAAAATGTCTAGACTTGACTCTCACACTAAGCATGGTCAGTGTGAAACACAGTTCTAACAGGTTCTCTACCCCATTAGCATCTCTTCTAAAGCCCCAAATTACCTCTGAATTTCACCTTTTCACGAATGTACAAAGCTTTCCACTGTGACATTGTAAAAACTGCATTTCTAGGCTACCTTTAATTATGGTTACCACACAGATCACACACACATACACAAATCCTCTACATATATAGTATGTATATAAATAGGGAATTGTATCATTTCAAATTCTACTTCTCTCACAAAGCATTATTTTAATAATGTTCAAGAACTTTTTTGTAGAACTACTTCAAAAAAACAACACCATTTTATAGAGATATCAAAAGCCATCTTACCACATTGCTTGCACAGATACTGGTTTGAATATGTGAACTCTGTTATCTGTTGATACGCTGAACCCACTAAGAGCAAAAGAGAACAGACAAAAGTCCACAAATAAGGGTCAGGTATTTCAGGTTTGCTACACCAGCTGACGGATTAAATAGAAGAAATAATCAGTATGTCATCTGGAAGTTAACTGGAAGTAGGATGTGACTGAAAGTTCCAACATGGCAGCTGAGAGAAGAACAGTCGGCCTTCTCCAGGGACAAGGATTATCTGCTAGGTAATCCAGTTCCAAGTGGTCATATCTAAACACATACATATATGAGCAATACTAAAGGAACTCAGCAAGCTGTAGTTAAATATACATATGTATGAAACAATAATTCAAGATGAAGTAGTCATGAATTTGAGAGGAAGTGGGGGAACGTAAGAGGAGTTTGGGGGAGGGTGAGAATTATATAAATACAGTACTCATTATACAATTCTCAAAAGTACAACAACAACAACAACAAATTCTCAAAAATAAATTTAAATAAAGAAAAGCATCAATAAATTGACTTTATCTACTAGGCAAAATTAAGTTGTCCTGATATATATTTCTATTTGGAAGTCTTTTGATTCATAGCAAACCTGACCTGGGTTTATAAACTGGAGTAAACATTTCGGTCTCTTGGGAACACATTCTAAAAACACCAGGAGGTGGGGGTGGCTGACTGGAAGGAACTGGCTCAGGAAAGGGGTTACACAGCAGGCTGACAGCTGGCAGAAGCCACAGAGGTTATTTGAAACAGAACACATCATCCTCTGGGAGAACACTGCAAGAGCAGTCCCACATGTTCACATTAAAGGGTGAGCCAACAAACTACTATTTCTTTGTCTGGCTTCCTATCATAGTCAGCTTAGAAGAACAGAAGTGAGAGACCCTGGCAAGTTGTACTTTATTCTACTTACAAAACAGCAGTTTAAAAGGCCTCACTGAGCTGCCGACATGTCAGTTCAGTTGGGCACACTGAGCCTCCCATTCAGCTGAATGAATGAGCCACTAAGACTGAGATGAGCCCACACCCCTCTGCTTTCTGCGGGAGGAGGAAGAAAGAGAAAGCTCTTACCCGTCACCATCCAAATGAATTAGGGTATCACTCCAGAGAGGCAAGACTAAGCCCATGGTACAAGTGCTACTGCAAGACAAGGAATAATCATTAAGTTACTTCCTGATATCCTAGGAAGCAGTCACCATTTACTAACTTTTAACACAAGGGATAAACCTCCAAGCAATAAAATGTGTCATCAATGTTAGAGTAGAGAAATTTCTATCATATTACTATTAATCCTGTACATGTTCTTAGGAGTTCTTTAAAAGGGATGGCCAGCTATTCCTTATATATTTGACAAAGAAAATTTATTGACTGAACTTCCTATATTGTCTTATAAGTAGCTACTATCTTAAAAAAATCCAAGTAATTACTGCTGACTTGCATTTGGTAGGTCTCAACCCAGGATACAAAATCCAACTCAATTCCAAGCATTATATCTTTTTATTTTTTCAGGGGTTAAGAGGCATGAACAAAGACTCATACAGTCCAGGCTGGCCTCAAACGCACAACAAAGCAGAGGCTGGCCTTGAACTCCTGATCCTTCAACCTTCACCTCCCAAGTGCTGGGATTACAGGTGCGCACCACCACAGCTGCCCTCAAGGACTAGTTTTAACGTCAAGAACTATTGCTAATTGCTCAAGATCTTGGAATAAATGAATTGTTCAATTCTAAGATTTACTGAAGCTGGGCAGTGGTGGCGCACGCCTTTAATCCCAGCACTCGGGAGGCAGAGCCAGGCGGATCTCTGTGAGTTTGAGGCCAGCCTGGGCTACCAAGTGAGTTCCAGGAAAGGCACAAAGCTACACAGAGAAACCCTGTCTCGAAAAATCAAAAAAAAAAAAAAAAAAAAAAAGATTTACTAAACACTAGGAATACCCAGTCTTGAAAGGAATTAAAAAATGTACAGAAGTAACAGTCATAGATTGTTATTAAGTTAGAGAAATAAAAAATACAATTTAAATGAAAGAGTACTTAGTCTTGTATGTGTGTATATGTGTGTTTAAATGAGATTTAAAAAACTTTTTATTAAATTTTATTTTTATTTTATGTGTATTCTGCCTGCATGTATTTCTGTGAACCATTTGTATGCCTGGTACCTGTGGAAGCCAGAAGGGGGTGTTGGATCCGCTGGGACTGGAGTTACAGATGGCTGTGAGCTGTCATATGGTTGCTGGGAATTGAACCTGGGTCCTCTGGAAGAGTAGTCAGTACTCTTTTAACTGCTGAGCCACCTCTCCACAGTCCTATTTTGTTTATTTTAAGAGAATCTCACTGTGTAGTCCAGACTGGCCTTGAACTCAAAATTCTCTTGTCTCAGCATTCTCTACCTTGAGATTACATGCTACCACACCTGACAAAATAATGCTATGTACTGACCTAGCATGGCTGAAATGTAGAATAGAGACATCAGCAACCAACAAAAGGGTGGTCCTACTATGGTATATTAAAATACTGCTGCAGGTTCTGGGGGTTGCAACTCAGTGGTAGAGTACTTGTGAGGCCCTGGGGTCAACTACACATCAGCCTAGGAAGGAAACTGGCTCTAAGCGAATAGAATAGGCTAGTGCAGGAAGCTCTGGCCTCCTGACCAATTATTGTATGCTCTGTGACTCCACTTCTCTGGACAACCTTTACCATTTTTGTCCCTTTCTCTTCTTCAGGATCTTTAAAGTTTTTAGTTTTGTTAGGTATGGTAGCACACACCTTTAATTCCAGTACTTGGGAAGCAGAGGCAGCAGATCTTTGTGAGGCCAGTCTACTCTACAACAGTAAGTTCCAGGCCAGCCAGGGTGACATATAAGACTTTTATCTCATACACACAAGAAATCTTTTTGAAGATACATGAATGTGTACACATATCTGTGTGTGGGCATGTGCACATGAGTGCAGATGCCTGTGGAGGCCAGAAGCTTCATATCTCCTGGAGCTAGAGTTATGGGGAACCACTGTTGATGCTGGGAAGCGTGCTTGGGTCCTCTGCAAGAAAAATGTTTATTCTGCTTAGCCATCTCTTCTGCCCCTTTCTAAGGATATGTCTTAAACTACTTCCTGCTTCTGGTCATTTTCCAAAGGATCCTTCATCTGCTCCCTGCCAATATGTCTAGAGACAGCAGTACAGCAGAAAGAACACGGTATGGGAGTGGGACACGGAGTGGTTAAGATCATGGGCTCTTAGTCAGATGGACTCTGGAACTGAGTTCTAGTAACACTCTTTCTCCCAGGGCCTTGTACACGCTAGATAAGAGCTCTCTGCCTCTGATCTACACCTCAGCCTTTAACTATGCAGTCTTAAACAAGTTACTTAATTGCTTTGTGTTGGTCTCTTCATCTATAAAAGAGGGACAAAATAACCTTTATTGCATTGTTTTAAGATCAATCAAGTGTATAAAAACATATATAAGGGTGCCTAAACAACAATAATTTCTATTTAGTAAGTATCTACTATGTCAAAATGTCTGGATTTGATCTCTTTTGGTATTGGAACGCCTCTGACCAGTTACTTAACTCCTCTCAGCCTTAGGTTCTTTATCTTTAAACATAGGTAATAGAACCTATCATCATAGGAAGTGGTTAGAAGGAGGAAAGGAGGGGGAGGATGATATATCTTAATTTAAAAAGATACCACATAACATCTTACAACTGTCTATAATTCTAATTCCAGAGGATCCAACACCTTCTTCTGGCCTCTGTGGGCACTACATTCACACAATGCACAGACATACATGCAGGCAAAATACCCATACACATAAAATAAAATTAAGAAAACAAATCTTTAAAAGAAGATTTAGAATAAAGCTAGGCATGGTGACACAAGGTACATGGGAGGGTGAGGCAGGATGATTGTGAGCTCAAGGTCAGTCTGAGTTAGAGTGTGTTTCAGGCATTGGCTTATAGAGTGGGACCCTGTTGCTCTCCCTGGCTCCCCCAGCCCCCATCAAAAAAAAAAAAAACCCAGAAGGAGAAAGAAAATATAAATATTTAAGATCCCTCTCTAACAGTTATTCAAGGAATCAAGGAGACATTATAATGTAAAACACAGGTGCACCAAACTCTGACGCGTTCAATTTCCGTTTTAGCTACTGGAATTAAAGACCCATTATAAGTAGGTGCTTCGCCGGGCGGTGGGGGCGCACGCCTTTAATCCCAGCACTCAGGAGGCAGAGGCAGGTGGATCTCTGTGAGTTCGAGGCCAGCCTGGGCTACAGAGTGAGTTCCAGGAAAGGCGTCAAAGCTACACAGAGAAACCCTGTCTCAAAAACAAAACCAAAACCAATCCCCCCCCCCACAAAACAAAAACCAAACCAAACCAAACAAACAAAAAAGCTATAACAAACCCAAAACCCCAACCACCCCAACCACCTAAAATCAAACCAACACAGAAAACGACAGCAACAATCCAAAACCAGAGGCCAGAGAGATGGCTCATTGGCTAATAGTGCTTGTTGATAGTGCTTGTTGTTCTTGCAGAGAACCTGAATTCAGGTCCCAGCAACCAGATCAGGCAGTTCACAACTGCCTGTAACTCAGCTCCAGGGGATCTAACCTTCTTCTGGCCTACATGGGTACCTGCAATGCATGTGGTGTTTGCACATGCATGTGCTTAGACACATACACACACCCCTAAACAAACAACAACAAAACCCCAGAGTTGGATATGGTGATACACATATATAATTCCAGCACTCAGGAGACTGAGTGTGAGGCAAGAGAATTTTGAGTTCAAGGAAATCCTGGGCTTCATAGTGAGAATCTTTCCCAAGGGGGGCGGGGAAGGTGAGGAGCAACAAACAAGCACCAGATCACAAAGTTCTGCTATTTTATAACCTGAAGCACATGTAGTATATTTTGAAAAACAAGGTTACAATGTATTAGGATACTTTGTAACTTAAACTACAGTACAGTTCTCAAAATAAGCTAAATGAATTGGCTACAACATAAGTACAACTACCTTGTACTTATCAAACAATCTGGCTTCTACTTTGACTAAATAGTGTTTTTGTTTGTTTGTTTTGATTTGGTTTGTTTTTTCCTTTTTTTTTTTTTCTTTTTTCGAGACAGGGTTTCTCTGTGTAGTTTTGGTGCCTTTCCTGGAGCTCGCTCTGTAGCCCAGGTTGGCCTCGAACTCACAGCGATCCACCTGCCTCTGCCTCCTGAGTGCTGGGATTAAAGGTGTGCACCACCATTGCCTGGCTGATTTAATATTGTTTAAAAACACTGTTATTTTCATATCTGGATATACGAAATGATACGAATCCCTTTAAAAGTAACTGAGAGGAACTGAGCACTAGTATTCTGAGGTCAAAGCCTTTCTTTTACTGTTCAACAGGTTCACTCAAACAGAAGACGCATAAGATTTTACAATGCTAGGCTTAACAAAAAGAAACTCATTTCTAGCTCTTCATGTCCCAGTTTGTTTCTGAGACACTAAAATTTGATCAGTGCAATGGCATCTGTCAGGTATGATCCAGACAGACTAACAGAACAAACTGATGTGATTTGCTGAGGATAAATTACTAGGCACCCATGGAAAGTCCGCTCAGCCATCCGATGGTTCACACTCTGGAGTCAGAATCTGTAGTTGCTGCCTCCAGTCTCCAGGGGAAGGAAGCCTCAGCTCCAGTTTCCATGCACTTGTAGTTCCCTCCTAGGTTTTCTTTTCCTTTTGTCTTCTTTCTTTCTTTTTTTTTTTTTAGATAGGGGTTCTCTTTGTAGCCCTGGTTGTCCTGGATCTCTATAGATCAGGCTGGCCTCAAACTCACAAAGTCCCTGCCTCTGCCTCCAGAGTGCTGGGACTAAAGGCGTGCATCGCCATGCCTGGCATCTACAGGTTTTCAAGGGAGGGGTCGGGGGAACTAAACAAAGGAAACATGGCCACAGTAATTCTGTCTAACTGAATTTCCTGCAATAATGGAAATATTCTGTACACATGTGCTGTCCCATATGGGAGCTGTTTATCACACATGACTACTAAGTATATGAAATGTGACTAGTTATGAAAGAAAATTTTTTAAATATATCATTATTTTAGTCTTTATTTACTTAAAAAGCTACAGGTGTCTAGTGGCAAATGTACTAGACACTATAGGTCCAGACAGGTAAAAGTCCAAATCAGAGATCATAAAACTCCAATGTGGAAACATAGGTAGTTTCCTACTTCCTCCTCCTTGAGACAATCTTGTTATATATAGCCCCGGACGGCCTGAAACTTACTACATAGACCAGGCTGGCCTCAACTTCTTGGCAATTCTCCTGACTCTGTTTCTGGAGTGCTGGAATTACTGGAGCATGCCACTATTCTCACAAAACAAGTACTTTCTTACTAAAAGGCCTGTTATTTAGGGAAAACATCAGAAGTCAAAACTTCAAGAGAAAACTTCCTACACGTTGTTGCCAAGCCTCTGTCAATTCAGAGCATATAAGTAAATGCTGTAACTGGTGTACAAGTTCACAGCTCTGGCCTTGTCATCTTTATGAACTCAGAAGTCATTCCCCAAGTTGACCTCTGTCTTATTTATTTATTTATTTATTTATTTATTTATTTATTTATTTATTTATTTATTTAAATCAACTTGACACATCTGGAAAATGGGAATGAAACTCAACTGAATAATTGCCTTGATTGGATTAGTCTGTCAGCTTGTCTACAGGGGCACTTTCTTGCTTGCTAATTAATGCAGAAGGTGCTAGCCTATTGTGGGCATGTGAGCCTGGGAGCAAGTAAGCAAGCAGCATTGATCTCTGTGGTGTCTGCTTCAGTTCCTGACTCTAGAGTCTTGCCCTGCCTCCCCTTGACGTTGGACTGTAACCTGTAAGCTGACATCTTTCCTCCCCAAGTTGTTTTTGACGATTTTGTTTTGTGTGCATGGGGTAGCATGTTGGAGGTTGGAAGAGGACAACTTGAGGGAGTTGGTTCTCCCCACTATGTGGGTCTCGGGGACCTGAACTTGGGTTGTCAGGCTGGGCAGCAGGCGCATTTACCCACTCAGCTATCTCATCAAGTCTGTTTCTGTCAGAGCTTTATCACAGCAACACAAAGCAAACCAAGACAACTTCTATGTACAAACTAGGGTAAAGGCTGGTTTTGGAAACTTTCTAGTGATCCTGGGATCTCCCTGCCTCTCTACAAAATCAGGACAATGAGACTCGCTAGCAATCCTGCTACGAACATTTCTTTCTTTCTTTCTTTTTTTTTTTTTGGTGGATGAATTTCCCCAGGCCTGGGTCACACTCCTAGCTACTGCACAATTCCATTCTAGTCCTGAACCAGGAAGTCATGGTTTGAGACATCTGACAGGATTTCCTGAGGCTTATTATCTCAGAGTGTAAAGATCTGCTTAGCAGTCACATTCCATAGTCTTCCCAAAGATTCTTCAGAAAGAGTAGAAAAATAGAACAGAAAAGCCTTAAGCCTTTAGGACACAACCCCCAAAAGCCTCAAAACAACAACAACAAAAATCTAGGTTCTGTCAGAGGTATCTTTAATTACAGGAAGCAAAGTACACCTGATTTTTTAACCCAGGACCATTGGTACATTACCAAGAAAGGCATGTACCCTAGGATTACCAAAGTAGAGAATCACTGATGGAAAGAATTAGACTAACAGGAAAAAGCAACATTTCCCCGATTTGCTTAATTATTATCATTAGTACCTAGTAATGAGAAAGGTAAGGAATAAAAATAGTAAATTAGAAATAGCCCAAGACATTTAGCAAGTGTGCTTGTCTTTGAAGATCATGGCCAAGACTTATTTTCTAGTTTTATGCCTTGATTTTTCTGTCTATGTGTGTGTGTACATGTGTTCATATGTTTATGGGGTGCATGTGGAGGTCAGACATCAACCTTGGGTAACTTCCTCAATTGCTCTTCACTTTAGAGACATAGTTTCTCACTGAACTTGGTTTTCACAGATTTGGCTAGGTTGGCTCCCTTGCTGGCCATCTGTCAGCCAGCTAGTCCCAGGGATTACTCTGTCTCCACTTCCTCAGTGCTGGGATTATAGGCACATGCTGCTGTGCCTAGATTTTTCACCAATGCTAGGGATTGAACTAAGGTACTTGAGCTTGCATGGCAAATACTTAACCAACTGAACCATCTCCTCAGGCTGTCATGAATTATTTAACTTAAAACTTCATTACCACATACTCACTATAAAAGATAATGGGTTGTACTGTGACACTTTCATAAATATATATATGTCAATCATTCCATAAACATAAATATTGTGGTGGTTTGAATAAGAATGGCCCCCATAGGCTTATATACTTGCTTAGTTATCAGGAAATGGCACTACTTGAGAAGGATTAGGAGGTATGGCCTTTGTTGGAGTAGGTGTGGTCTTGTTGGAAGAAATGAGTTACTGGGGGGTGGGCTTTGAGGTTTCAAAAGCCCAAGTCAGGCCCAGTGGCTCTCTCTTCCTGCTGCCTATGGATCTGGATATAGAATTCTCAGCTACTTCTCCAGCACCATGTCTGCCTGAGTGCTGCCATGCTCTCTGCCGTGATGATAATGGACTAAATAAACCTCTGAAACTGTAAGTAAGTCCCAATTAAATGCTTTCTTTTATAAGAGTTGTTGTGGTCATGGTTTCTCTTCTCAGCAATACAACAGTGACCAAGACATAGATCAAGAATACAAGCTGGGCATGGTGACTCACACCTTTAGTCCTAGCACTTGGGAGGCAGAGGCAGGGTGATCTCTGAGTTCGAGGCCAGCCTGGTCTACACACACACACACACACACACACACCCCCTTCATCCTCTTACCTTCTTGTTTAATTTTATTTTGAATTTTAAAAGCATAATTATGCAAGACATTTTTGTAATAGTTCAAATAACTATACTAGGTTAATTAAAAGGTAGTTTTCATGCTCCTCCCCCATTTTTTAATGGTACCATACCTGTCATTAGAAGAAAAATCCATTCCCAGGACAATGCTTTCTTCCGTGTCTTGTCTACCATTAGTTGAAACCACCACCATATAGCGTGTTCGATTTTGGTAAGTACTTTCCAATCTTACAGCCTGAGGTCAACAGATAACAAAGAAACAAGGAATTTAGAGCATTTTTAAATCATTTAATCTTTTTTTTGTTTTAAACCAGCATCTCATAGCATGCTACCAAGGCAAAAAAGGTGATAGTTGGGAGACCTAAATTCAAAATTCAACTCAAATATTAACTATAAAATCTTTGATATAATACTAAATTAATGGGGGTATATAATAATACTTATGTTGTTTTAATAATCTTATAACTGGGTATACAAACCACACTTAAGGCAGGACTCATGCCCAGTAGTAGATGGCCAACATAAAATGAACTCAATGGTATTTTTGTAGATTTTTTTTTGTGGGGGGGAATCTCATATTGCTTTTGTTTAGGCTTTTTTTTTTTAATTAAAAAAAAAACAAACACTTAACCTAACTGGTCTTTTGCTTGTATTATGGTTTCTGATTTTGTGTTTTCATTGATTTCTTTTTTGTGTGTGTATGTCTGTGTTTCTTGTGCATTTTCATTGTTTTTTCTTTTCATTTATTCTGATTTGTTTTAAAGAGAGAGAAAGAAGGTGTGGAGTTGGATGGATGGAGATGAGGGAGAGGAAATTGTGATTAGAATATTTTATATGAAAACATTTATTTTCAATAAAAATAAAATGAACATTATATACAGGATAAGTATATAAGTCACTATAAATATACATTAAGTTGGTCAAACTCAAAATGCTATAGATGTATATTTTATTGAAATATATAGTACTCATATATATTATAAACTATATACATAATACTTTATAAAAATATATATATATTTCTCTGCCTTATATAGTCTATGTATCTATATGTACTTACCTATCTCCACAAACTTTAGGGTAAGGTAACAATCATTCTTATCAAATCCGTTTCTCCTGGTAAAGAGTCTTTGTTTCACCAAGCTTTAGTTAGGCTCTTGGACTTTGTCCTAGATCTATCTGTGCAATTACTTGCAAAATTAAACTTTAGCAAGAACCCCCACTAAATTTGTTTATCTGGAGTCTACGTCATCCCTACTCGATACTCCTTGACATCTAACTGGGTTTTTCATCCTCTACCATCTCCCAAGTGATATACCATCACCCTGGCCTATCCTCAACTAAAATCCTCTAAATCATTTTAAGCCAAAACTTGATACTGAGGGTTCTCTGAAATAAAAGGCCTATTGAGCCATTACAGAGAAGGATCTTATCTATGGGTAAGTTTTTCAACCACCTGCAGGGAAGTGAGGTAGCAGATGGAAACATGCCTGCTGGGCCTCAGGGTGAAAGCATATTGTAATAGTTACTTTTTGTAACTCATAGAAGGAAGAGCTGATTTAGGCTTTAGGGTTCCAGAAGGAGAGTCCATAATGGGGGACGCATGCCAGCAGTTAGCTAAAGCAAGGAAGCTCAGATCCCATTTCTATCCACAAGCAGGAAGCACAGAGGCTATAAACCCTCAAAGTTTGTTCCCCATGAACTTCCTCTAGTTAGGCATGACTAATTTCTCAGACAAAATACAAACTGGGTACCAAGTTTTCAAATACCTAAGTCTATAGGAAAGCCTATAGGAAACATTCTTACTCAAACCACCACATGTTTATACTGAAAAATTTGAGAGGGAAAGAATCCACACTGACTACAGGAAAGAGTGAACTAACGAGAAGCAGGCAGAGGTTTGAGACAGGAGGTCAGTCTGTATGAAGGACTCATTGTTTCTTGATTGGCTGGGGTGAACAATCCAGAAAAATGCATTTATAATGAGAATATGGTGTACAGCCTAGTGGTCTGCTCTCTAGAACTCAGTCTAGGTTTCAAAATCTATTAAGTTAATTAGGCACAAAGGTGTTAACTGATTAGTTTTCCTTTCATATCTTCCCCTCTGTCCTCTAACCCTGATAATTTAGGATAGTTCAGGATTTTTTTCTTTTTTGGTTTTTCAAGACAGGGTTTCTCTGTGTAGCTTTGCGCCTTTCCTGAAACTCACTTGGTAGTCCAGGCTGCCTCGAACTCACAGAGATCCACCTGCCTCTGCCTCCCGAGTGCTGGGATTAAAGGCGTGAGCCACCACCGCCCGGCTAGTTCAGGATTTTTAAAACTACATTGTTTAATTTCTGTGTGTATGTGTGTGGGGCACCCACCTGTGCATGGATCTGTAGAGACTAGAGGTCAATTCTGGGTACCTTCCTCTGGCCTGAATATTTGCTTTATTGTTTGAGACAGGGTCTCTTCACTGAACCCAAAGATCATTTTGTCTAGCCTGGCTGGCCAGCACTGGGACAACAGGCACACGCTGCCCCGTGTGGCTTTTCCTACATGGGTGTTGGGTATCTGAACTCACGTCCTCAGGCTTGCATGACGAGTACACCGCTGCCTAGCTCACAGATTTCTACCAACTCCCCATTTTCTTTCTTTCTTTTTTTTGGTCAATTTAGTCTCGGTCCTTCACTTATCTTTGATATTTTCGCTCAGCAGCCTTCATCTACAGGACTCAACTCTGCTGTTTGGCTATGAATTCTTGCCTGTCCATGCTGGATTTACAATTAAGCCCAATTCTACACTGAGGTTTCCCAGCTTTATCTCAATAGTCTTGAATAACATTTTTTTAATCACCTAAAAAAGAAAGAATCTTATGAAATTATGAATGTGAATCAGTGCATAATACATGGTAAATGATTACTACCCCACTGTAATGTGTTTCTATGAGCAGAATTCGTAACAATTGCCAAAATATGTTCTATAAACTGAAGAGGGGCAAATGAGGAACATGAATGTGAACACTCATCTCATACATAAAATTTGCACAAGCTACTGTAATATGAAGCAAACTATTAGTATTATCCAGGGGAAATTACTGGCCCTGTGCAAATGAGTATCTGTTTGTAACAGATATTTATGTATATAAACAGATGTTTGCATATCTGCATGTGACAGGATTTTTTTCCTCCCCTACTCCTGATTTATTATTACTATTATTACTACTACTACTATTATTATTACTATTAGTGTGTGTGTGTGTGTGTGTGTTGGTGCGTGTGTAAAGGTCATGGGCAACTCTTTGGAGTTGTTTTTCTTTATCCACCCTTATGTGGGCTCCACGGATTGAATTCAGTTTATCACTTTATGTGGCAAGCACCTTTACCCACAAAGCCATTTTAGGGGCTGCCTCCTTTTGTTTTTTATTTTATTTTTTCTAGACAGAGTTTGCTATGTAGAGTAGGCTTGAACTCACATAAATCCTCCTTCCTCAGCCTCTTGAATTCTGAGAGTACAGGCCTATGCCCCCATGTCAGCTTCTTCTTAGATTATTTTATGTGTACGAGTGTTTAGTCTGCATGTATGGAAGGGCATCACATGTATACCTGGTGCCTTTGGAACTGGAACTGGAATTACAGATGGTTGTGAGCAGCCATGTGGGTGCTGGAACTGAACTTGGGTCCTCCACAAGAGCAGCTAGCATTCTTAATGGAAGAGCCATCTCTCTAATCCTTTATTTATTTATTTATTTGTTTATTGATCCGTCTATCATTTTTTAAAAAAGATTAATTTATTTATTATGTCTACAGAGTTCTGTCTGCACATATCCCTGCAAGCCAGAAGAGGGCACCAGATCTCATTACAGATGGTTGTGAGCCACCATGTGGTTGCTGGGAATTGAACTCAGGACCTTTGGAAGAACAAGCAGTGCTCTTAACCTCTGAGCCATCTCCCCAGCCCCATCCTTTATTTTTTATTTTTTAAAGACAGGGACTGTCTATGTAGCCCTGGCTGTCCTGGCCTCATTATATAGTCTAGGCTGGCCTCAAACTCAGAGCAATCTACCCGCCTCTGCCTCAGCTTCTTCTTTACCTTCAACAATTAAAGATTCCTTTTTCAGAAGCTTCTTAGTTTTTAAAAGTTTTAATTCATTGTTTATGTATTCAAAGTGCCTTCAGAAGATTGGAATGTAAACAGGGTCTTGGATGAAGTTAAGGGCTTACCTGCTAGTGTGATAATGGCAGCGTGATTACTATCCCTCTGTTTAATATCTGAAGTAAAATGTCACATCACATGGTGATGGCTACTAAAGCTGACTCAAAAAATTTCTGGGACTTATTTTCTATTTTGACTGTTTGGAAAATTTCTTAATAAGTTAAAAAAATCACTGTATAAACAAAGCAAAATGGTTTCCAGGCAACAATCATTTGAATATTTGCCATACATATGCTGCCTATGCCAGGACAGCACAAGGGCTGGGAAATCAACGGTGGAAGATGGAGACATCGCTCTCCCCTTGTGAGATGTATGCTCTACTCCTACTGTCTCAAAAATCAAGTAAATCAATTAAATTAAATAAAGACAGTCTTATGTATCCCAGGCTGACTTCTAACTTACACAGTCAAGGATAACTCTTAACTGGTCCTTCTGCTTCCACTTCACAAGGGCTAAGATTACAGGTATCCACCACCACGCTCAGTTTCTGTGGTGCTGGAGATATGACCCAGGGCTTCAAGGATTCTGGGAAAGCACTCCACCAACTAAGTTATAAACCTAGCTTTATGCCTCTGTTCTGATATTCCTAAGAAAAGCTAGGGAAGTAAAGACAGTGGATGTGGCTAAATTACAGCTTCTTTGTTAGAACTGACACAATCAGAATGCAATGCCATCATTCTGACGCCAAAGACACAAGCCATACTGTTGTTCACTTTATGTTCCATGAAGAAAAGTTTTGAAATCAAATTCACTTATGAGACACCAAGAGGAACTAACATTTAAATGGACCACAGTCTAGAGTTAGTCAACTGAGATTGAGGAGGAACATTAAACACACAAAGCTATGGGTAACAGTAGATACACATGAGGTGGACTGGGAGGCAGCTCTGGATTTCCTTATAGAAACACTCAAGACATACATGTCATTTTTAAACTTACGTTTATTTATTTAGTGTGTGTGAGAGGTGCAGAAGTCAGTTCTCTCCTTCCACACGTGGGTCCTGGGAGAGAACTCAGGTTGCCAGGCCTGGTGCAAAGTGC